TTGCTTTTTGCGGCATTCAGAAAAAGCAATTCCGCATCGATTTGCTTTTGGCTTTTTGCGGCATCCAGAAAAAGCAATTCCGCATCGAGTTGTTTTTTGCCTTTTGCGGCCATCAGAGAAAGAGATTTCGTAAGGTTGCCGAGCACTTGGATTCAATGACCACATCCAACCAGAGTTGTGAGCATGGGTGGGCCCACCTTACAAGGCAGGCAACGCCGCTGAGAAACCTCCTTTCTATGAAGACTGTGGGGACGCTGTGCCATGTGCAGAATATAGGACCGCTCTTGTTCCCGCCACCTTCTGGCTCCCAAAAGCGTCTTGCAAAAAAAAGCAAGCCGTGGGTGCCATCCAGGCTGAGATAGTCAGCCGAGTTTCGGTTGGAGGATGTGCAGCTTGGAGATGAAGAGGAGATGGAGGCCCCACCGGCTTGCAAAGCAAAGCCCGGCCACGAATGTCCTCTAGATGTAGATGTTGATGAAGAAGACGCATCCTCCAGCTCAGAGACCTCAAGCTCCTCGGGCTCAGACTCAGATTCTGCTTGCTCCGTGGACCTTGAGATGGCAGAAGCAGAGGCAGTTGACCCTTGCTATGTTCTCTCACCACTGACATGCCTGAGGATGAGTGAAAGGAGTGCGCTCTGCCAGCCCCATAGGAAACACACAGAAAACGCACCTATATGGAAAACGCGACCCCAAAATGTACAAAACGCACAGAAAACGCAGCTATCGAAATCGTGCCGGGCACCTCAACGTAGATAAAGTTTGAATATTGTATTTGTGGCTATTTGAGGTTCGTCCACATCATAGTCAGTAGCTTTGCACAATAGTCTACAATTTGTTGCCTCTCACTTTCTTGCCCTCACATGGTGTTCAGTGTTCATGGATCATGTGTCCCTTTTCTTTGTTTGACTGTTAAGATCTATTAACGTTCCAACCCAAGTATCTGCTGTGCAAGCGCCCACACCTCCCCAGGTGCCGCGCTGATTGCGCAGAACGAACCCGAGGACGCGGATGGCGAGCGGGGCTGCATCGTCAACGTTGCCAGCGTGGCGGCAGAGGATGGGCAGAACGGGCAGATCGCCTATGGGGCAGGCACGGTGGATGGGATGCGATGGTTGGTGCGGTTGATTGCTTTTCTCAGCGGGATTTGACCACGTCTTTTTGTGGGATCGAATTTCCAGGCAAAAAACACTGGTCGCTGCACGCTGAACCCTGTCGCTGCTAGACTGCCAGATTCAGTCTATTGACCGAAATGTTGACAGAGGGTTTCCCCTTCACAGCATCAGAGACTTGTAAATAGACGATGTAGATTCGTCGCCGAGAATCCCAATCTCTAGGGCTTATAGGGGGTTGTTGGTTCATTTCATGGTGTATGATATCCCATGTGTTCCCTGTTGACATCCCAAACCTTGGAAATTGACAGCTCTCAAAATGTCAAACCCAGCTTTAAAGGGTATGACAATGCCAGGTCGATCGAAGGATTCGGTGCGCGGGGTACGAAAAAGAGAAGACAGAGGACAAGGATTAAGTGATATCATCCATACCCAGACAATCCATGTATGGAACATTTGCCATTTGCCTACAATAAGATGTTCTAAGAAGTTTTGAGGGTCAATGTAGGTAAATCATCCAGTCCCATGGATTGTTTGGGATATGCATATGGGTCCACAACGTGAGTCTTCAATGGTATTCCATACATATCATATATCGGATACGTGAATTTTGTGAAAGCTAACGTGAGAGGATCTATCTAAGTATGCATTGGAAGAACATAGGATTCGCCAGGTGTATTTGTGGGAACAGGAGGAACAGGATGCAGAACATGACCGGCACCTTGCTAAATAGATACTATACGTATATGATCGTAGATGGGTTGTTCCTGTAATTGACTTATTTGTCGGGGCTGCAAATGTTATTTTGTTGTTGTTGTTGTTTTCTCACATTACTCAGTTCCCTTCCCAACCCCCCCTCTTTTGATCTCCTTTCCTATTAAGGACATATAGGAGCACCGTAGGCACGTACGGTTGGCATCGCATCGCACTGCGGTCCAGGAAAAGGTGGCATTAAGGCCATGACACTGCCAATGGCCCGGGATCTGGGCAAGAGACTTGCTGGTGAACCGCACGCGCTGACAGTGGTAGAGACCGTTGGTCCAACAACTGGTTCGCATGGAGCTGACAGTGGACGTGGTGGGTGAACAGTGTTGAACATTGTGAGCATGGGTTGATATGGGTTTTAAGTTTTACTGAAGAGCTGTCTAGTGGTGTACCCTCCCAACAACAAGCTCAGATAGAAACATGTGATTGTCTTCAGCTGGATCCACTGTTGAGGGTTGTTGGAGTTTGACACCCATGAAATCATCCATGCTGGCATCTATATCATATCCGTTTGTTAAGCTTTATATACCAGCGCCTTCCACCAGGTCACTATCTGCCACTTTAAGATCCAGAACCTCCAGGGGAGAGAATTGTTGCAGAGTGCTGCACCAGCTGACCAGCTGACCAGCTCAGGAGAGGTATCCGTGTGAACTGCATCTTGCCCGGCGTCTTTGATACGCCGATGACCGCGCCGCTGAAGCAGTTCAGACCCGAGGTGGGCCATGGCAAATACCGTCCCATAATCTCCATATAACAAGATGATTCTGGATCAGTATTAAGATCATTCTATGATCATTCTCAGAAAATCCATTCTCCTGGATTTTGGTGTTTCTCAAGAATTCTTTCCAGATTTGATGGGGATCAGCTGGTTTCAGGTCTACAAGAACTTGGCGCAATCGCCGATCTTCCCCAACACCCGACTGGGCGGCTTGGCGATGGAAGTGGAGTCAGGTTGGGATGCCTCGAAATGAACTGCAAAGCAAGTGGAGACTTTGGAACAAAGTGAGGAGATTCAGTGCTCAATGCAGGAAGTGGGACTAGTTAGAGAGTTTGGGGAAGTGTGGATACGAGGAACTAAGGAGGCACTTGGGCGAGCGGTGGGCGGGTCAATCACTGGATTGGTGACTGTGACTAAACTCCAGTTTTTGGGTGACCTTTTCTGACATGTTCACAAGTGTACCAGGCGACCATGAATGACATATTCAGGATGTGTTGTTTTTATTTCATCTCAGATGTAGCTAGCTTGCTTTCATCATTGCTTTCGTGATTCCTCAAATTTGAGGAAGAACGATTCGATGCATGTCAAAGCATCAATGTACCATTGGACCCTGTGTGAGGTCTGCATGATTCGTGGCCTCCCTGCGGGCTTTGGATCTCGGAAGATAGCCAGTCGGGAAACAGAACATTCTTCGACCCTGGTGGTCAAAGCACGGACCTATCTGCTTTATCAAAAAAGCTCCCTCGCCTCCCGACTCCTGGAGGGTCGTCAGCCTTCCTGGAGCGTCTCTTGCCTTCCTTGTCAGGTGCGCCCGAGGAGTTTGCGCAAATGGCCGTGGCCATTCTGGAGAACAAGTACGTGAACGGTGAGAGCATCCGCGTGGATGGCGGCATCCGCATGGGCAAGCTTTGAGATGACACTGGATCTCCTGCTACTTTTTTTTTGCAGGGGAAGCGTCTCTTGCATGTCATTTTGCATGTGTTTTTTTGTTTTGCGATATGATATGATCCCCAGAATCAACGAGACAGTTGTCGTGAGACTGTTGGAAGGTTCCACTCCCTAGGCCGCTGAGGAGATCCAGTGGTGGCATTTGGCCACGCGTTCTCAGCAGATTTCAAGGCCCAAAAGGAGAAAAGGAGTGGTGCGGGCAAAGTCTTTGACAGGTGGTGAGAAAAAGTGAGAAAGAGTGAGATATACTTAGGACCCCCAGAACCTGTGAGTTGTTGCTTGTTGGTCAAAGTATGCTGTAGACAAAGTTGTTCATCAACAGCAGGTTTCGCATGTTTTGAGCCTATAGGGTAACAGTCGTTGAATTGACTTCGACGATGTCACATCGGGATTCACAAGTCTTCCAGTCAGATGGACATCCGTTGTATATATTTCAATTGCATTTCAATGTTGCTTTTTTGCCTGAAATGGAACCTGGACTGGTGGACTCCCCCTCGAAGCGAGCACAAAACACCAAGGACACCGATTGGTCAACGAGTGAGAGTATGAAAAAGCTGGATGTGGAGTTGAGTGAGTTGACTGAATTGACTTCCATAGAAGCACGGTGGGGCGTTGGAGATGTCTTCTGGTCTGTCTTCCTCACCCTTCGGCCCTTCGGCCCAAACCAGGACTACCACCAAGCGGCGGTGGCCCTCCGAAGTTGCGTCTCTCGGAGGCAAAAAACAGGAAACAACGGACTGGGGAGACCCACCTGCCTAAGAGGAGAGATGGAAAAGCAGTTGGAGAAGAGAGTTCCTCATGTTTCAGCCGTTTACCCATATAGAAATAGGTAGGTCACTCATCGAATGGCCCTCCACAAAAACATACGAACACCATTTGTTCAGGTCGGCTGGTGAACAACGTATCCTGATTTAGGAGCCATTAAACATCACACTTCCACTTGCTTGAATGGTGCCACTGCCCACATCGATGGTTGGTTGAAGGGAGAGTGCGATGTCGACATCTCCAGTTGGGCCAGCCGAAGCCAACACGAGGTGAAAGATGTGAAAGGGGAACGGATGGGCGAACGGAAAGTTCGTGGCATCCCAATGACTTACACCAGGACAAGTTAGATTCACTAGATGACACTGTACTGACACCTGTTTGGCACATGTCATCATGTATAACGCTTTGGAAGCCGTCCATTTCATTCAAGGTATGGGAGGCAGATACCATGTGAATCTTCCATGAGAAGTCTTCCACAGGATGCGCCATAGCGCAAGCATGCTCAAAAATCCCACAGATTGAACTTGTAGTGCTGCAATTTGCAGTTCTATGCAGTTGTAAGTTGAAATGGTGAACACCAAGTTGGAGAGCCCAAGGTTTCCGCCCAAACACCGGACCAGTTTGCGTTTTTCTGCTGCTTTTGTGTTCCAAGCCTTTCCAGAACAGCCATCATCAAAAGCTCACACCAGCGGCGAGATCATCCTCACAAGCCTGTCGAGCGCAAAGGTGAAGCCTGTCAGACACAGAACTGTCGCACTGATGCAGAACTCAGGTTCGCTCCTGTGCGTTGTTGATGAACCAGAGGGGCCTGGTTTCTTGGAAAGCAAGGTCCGGGGCAGGTCCAAGCGGCCTGACTAGCCCGGTGATATCCAACACATAAAGGTCCATAGTGGCAGCTTCCTGCGTGCAACCAGCTTGGAGATTGATGTTTGAAGGCAGGTTCCTCAATGGTTAAGGTTCTTTATTTCAATGCGTGGAAGCTTTTCAAGGGATTCATGAGGCTTCATGTCGTGAATAAGAGACCAGGGACTTCCATGTTCAACAGGAACAATTTCCAAGAGGGGGTAAAGGGGATTGACTTGTTCATTTGTCCTCCCACAATGTGGTGTCACTTTGTTGTTGCACATCAATTGTGTGGTACTTGTGATGCGGTTCGGATTGTCAACACGTTCAGAAGCCACCGTTCGTGCCCTCCAAGACCACGCGACAAGAGCAGGGTCTTCCTCGTTTCCTCTCCGACGACTGGTCTTTTCTGTGGTCGAAATGAGTCGAATGAGTCGAACACCACATCAGCCGGATCTTGGGGTAGGCAAAGTGCTTTGCCCAACCAACAGCACAGCACTTCGAGATCGAAAGGTTGCATTGCATGAATGCAAACTAAAGTTAAACCGGAGAAAACCCAACCATGGAAAACTCCGAGTGGTGTGCACACTTGCTTTCATCTTGTGACTTTGGATCCACTCTTAGTCTTGTGAGTGGAACGGAACATGAGTGGACCATGTCTCACAGCCACCGCCCATCCCCTTGGAATCAGCATCACCTAGGCCTCGAATGCGGATCGCCATGTGGTGGCTACAGTGCAGCACCTCCTTTACGAGGCGGTCTCGTGGGGCCATGGATGTTGACAGGTTGAAAGATGTTTAGAGCACAGACATGTCCCCAAATGGTCATTTGCAGTTTGCGGTGGGTGTTATTGGATCTCAATTTTGCGGGGGACCATTGTCCTCACAGAACAAAGAGGATCGGTTTCAAGTTTGAGGTTGACAGCCCCGTCCTTCAACTCTGCCTACACCTTTGCCAGGTCTTGCCTACACCTTTGCCAATCTCGAAGGGAGTCAGCAAACTCAGTGAGCACCAGACTGGACCGGGACATGCACAAACATCCCAGTGGTGTTCTGTGAAATTTGCTGATCAGGCCACTGACTCTCAGAGGTCCTAGCTTTGAAAGAAAACACCGGATGACCGATACACTAAAATAGTAATGGAAGTGGAGTTCACCACCTGTTTGGTGAAAATGGTCATCCAAGCCATGCCATGCACTTCCATGGTTAATCCATGGTTATTATATCAGCGATTGTAGTGTTTTCTGCACACAAGCTCTGAGGTGAGCGCCTGTTTCTGGCGCTCCATGCCCATGTATTACGAGACCCAGGCAGCTGGGAGGGCGTTTGGATTGTTTGGTGTTGAGGCTCATGTTGAAGTTGCAGAGACCAGCTCAGGGTTTTCAGTGGGTTTCATCTACTCTCGGAATCTTGGTGTGGTTTGCTCCAATTCTCAGATGGGCCCTGATTGTTGGGTAGGCGAAATGGATTCCTACGGTCAGAATGAACGGGACAATTTGATGGGACATCCATCCCAGGTGGTTGGTTTGTGCAGTTGTAGTGAAGCAATGCGGCTCCTCGAAACAGACACCTCGACATCCTCTTCTTTTGGAGACTCACCAGAACGCACCCCGAGCGCCGCCCTGCTGCCGCCCTGTTGCTGCCAGAGGCGTCGCTGGTGCGAGAGCTGTGGATGGTGGTGCAGTACTTCTTAGCTGCGTCGCTCTCCTTGCCGCCCAACACGCATCACCACTCGGCTACTCGGGAGAATCCGGTTCACGGGATGCGAGACCGTGGGGGCAGGGCTATAGGGCCTAGGGTTCAGATGTTTCGCTGGGTTGCGCCGTCTTGCTTGCTTGTGTTTTTTTGTGATGTGTGTGTGTGTGGGCGATATGAGGTGGTGTCAAGTGATTCGAATAGGTCAGGCTTAAATGCCGAAGGGTGCCTACCATTTACGACCTCATTGAACCTCATTCAGGACATGATGTCCAAGACCTTTTGCTCAGGTTCGCCTGCTGACCTTGGTCTCTGCCCTCGCGCTGCTGGACGCCATCGTGCGCCGGAACCCTCCACATTCCCAGCATGACCTGAGCTGGGAGCCCCAGTATTTTCTGGGTGAAGGGTCAGACGGTGACCGGCCAAAGGGGACTATCTGGGGCTGGGCATGGATGGAGTGTTTGATGCTTGACGCTGCTTCACTGCTTTACTTGAAGATCCTTTTGGATGATGAGCCTTGAGCAAGAATTCAACACGTGTTTTGCACCATGGAAGTCCCCTGTTGGAGATTTTGGGATCCACTTTCCCGCTATCCAAAGAGTCCACAGTCCTGTATTCGTAAAGGAAGCATAGTGTTTGATCGACACTGCATGGTTGCTGTGATTCTTCGGATCCTGATCCTTGCGCCTTTCCTCCACTCCCCACCTCAGACACTGCACATCGGGGTGGTTTGGGGGGGTCAATCTAGGCATAGATTCCATACAAACAAAGAGTTGGAAGCACACATTCCATCATGTTCCAACAACTCCCGCATATATGCCCATATCACGCCCGCATCTCCATATATAGGAGTCTTTTGGACACCACCTTCCCATACCCTTCCCTCGCCTGGTTCGCCCCCCGGCCCAGGCCGCGTCTACAGCGGCGCGCTGCGCCCGGAACAGAAGGTCGGCGCCTTCGCGGTGGCGGCGCCGCCGCTGGCAGAGAGCAGCGAGGACCCGGTGACGTTTTTTGATCGGTTTATGGTTTAAGTTTACGTGGAGGTCCTTGGGGCTTCTGGAAAGACCAGCTTCTACACACGGAGGGCTGTCCACTTCGCAGGGAAGGTACGAGCGCTAAGTCATCTCCGTTGGATTGACGAATGCACCAAAGACGTCGGAGACGATCAGTGAGAGTGGAAGATCCACCGGTTGGGGTCTGGGAATGAGGCGGAAAGAAACGCAGTGTGTAGCAAGCCAGAGTTCATGTGGGGAGACCTAAAGACCCCCTGTAAGAAGAGAAATCGACCAAGACAATCCAAGACCAAGAGCCATTGATTGGGGTAACACGACTTGCGGACGGATGTCAATCGTTCACCGCCCCAGAAGTCCCTTCCATGTTGGCTTTCGGATGCTGAGAACCCTCACTGTGTCCCATCAGGGCCCATCACGGGACCTTTGGTCATGTGATGTCATGTGCAGGAGTTGCCTTTGTCGGACCCTCATGCGCAGGAGATCAGGCAGGAAGCTTCACATTGAGAGACACAGAAACTAGACGACGTCTGTCCTTGACACGTGTTTGTCATATAGAAAAAACATAGTAGACGTTTGATGGTGTACTTGAACACCCCAAAAACGGCAACAATGAAATGTTGGTTTCACGATGTTCTCACGAAGTTTCACCATTCACGATGATTGGCAATAATTGGATTCTTTGCTAAAACGCTTCATAAATCCTTTTGAACATCAAACAGACTCTCAGGAAATTCGGAAACTCACACACCCAGCCACAGAGCTTCCACCGCTCATCCAGCGGTTCGCTTCCACACCGTCCGCACCGCCAAGCAGCCGCCTCCGCGCTCCGCTCCGCTCCGCTGCTCGGGAGGTCGGGTTTGTTGGACTACTTCGCCAGCGCCGGGGAGTCCAAACATCGCCAGGCACCGGTGCGGCCGGACGCGTCCGTCGGGTGAGGCGAGGTTGGGGTGGTTGGGATGAGGCGAGGTTCCTCCAACATGTCATTAAAGTATAGAACATTGTATGATGATCGTAATAGGGGATTTCCTTGAAAGGTAATGTTGTGCCAAAAAGAAGACTTCTTGGAAAACACGTGAACCAGATTCATTGGGAACTACAACATATGTGTTGTCCAGATTGGACGTGTGTGTTTTGTGAGATGTTCATGCAGTTGCAACTTGCCCAGAGATTCGGATTCGGTGTCCCAGGAAATCTGAGGGGCTCCACAACCAGGAAGGATCGTTGCACTACCTGGGATATGCAAGTAAATATCCTTTAGAAGTCATTGGAGGTACCCTCTTTTGTAGCCATAAGTGCTGGCTCCTATCCTCATGTGAGGTGGCTCTAAATTATGGCTAGGCCTCATGACTGGAGCCATCACCTGACTGGAGCCATCATCCTCATGTCGTTCAACTTGAGAAGAATGCATGAATTGTGAGGCTCGGCGCGTGTTTGCCTTCACAGACATGCGCTTTGGCTCAGGCACGTGGCACGTGTGTGGTCGTTCTCGGAGGTTTTGATGGGAATGGTTTATGGATGGAGACCATTGTTTGTGTGTTCTTTGGAATCGGCGGAGTGAGGAGACGTCCCAATGATCCTGAAGCAGATGGAATATTTAGTTAGAGTGAAGTTTGTGCGAGGTGAGATAACTAATTAGTAAGTATAGTAAGTAAAGAAGATCTTTGACTCAATAGCATGGATGGATATGGGAACACTTGTCCGACCGACCCAACTTGGTCCATCATTACTGTAGGTGATGGAGTGATCAAATGGTCTCCTTCTACGCAGAGTGCCCACAGATATCCATAGGCACTTCCTCAGCATGGCTTCAGCTGGAACCACGGTAGATGAAGACTGTGGATTTTTGTTGGAGGTTCACCTGACATGACCCATTACGGTGCTTGAATTAATGGTTCTACCGTCAGATTCGGGCTGTATGAGAGCTATGAGAGGCCAGCTCAAATGCTTTGTTTGGTACACCGAAGAAGATTAGTATGGAACCTGAAAAATGGACCTTTGGAAGACAACCTTCCTCCACGAACCAGTGGTTTTCAGGTATACCATGTAAATCTTTCAGGGAGTAGGCATTTGTGAGCGCTCGCATCTCTCGGCAAAGATCGATCATGTCAAGCCAATTTGCTTTACCCTCACATTTAAATGGAACTCACAGGCAGAAGACCGTCAGATGTGCCCATGATGGGCAGAATCAAGTCCATGAAGTGTCTACCTGTAGCTTGAGCTTTGGCGCAATCAAAGTTCCTTCCTGCAGAAGATCGGCATGCAGTTTCTTGGGTTGGATCAGTGGCCATCCAGACTCCGCCAACCCCTCGTTGTCATCAAGGCCTAGGGCCGCTAAAGAAGTGCAACATGGAATTGGTTTTGCCCATCAGGTGAAGATTCGCTTCGGCTGTTTGGGTCATTGATGGTCATGGTTTATATGGATCATACTGGATTTGCTTCTTTAATTCAAGGAGCAATCCGGTCGTCTTCCGCTTTAGCCCAAACTGCGAACACGGCGCAAACACCGCGTCAAGCAACGCGCGTTCAGGGGATCTGGAGCTGATACATCGCTTGGCTCTCTTGCGAGGTGGGTCATATGGGCACTGGACGGGGAACGACGAAGATATAGTATGATATAGTGGCGCAGTAGGTGGCCTGTGGATGAACTGAATGACATTTACTGTGACCAGGGACTTTCCAGCTTCCGCCCCCCCTGGTAGGGTCCCTGTACTGGTCCCTTGCATTCGACTTTTCGGGGATTTCCAGGGCCAGACTCGTCTGGATTTGTGGTTGTGAAATCCCAACCATGGAATTCTGCATGCAAGAGTTCTTGCAAAAAGTCAGCCATGTTTCAGAGCAGATGCATTGGGACAGCTGAACTTCGGAATCACGTTCACATCAAGCGAAGGACTAGGAGCCTGTTGGAGTCTAGAGAAACTGAAGGAGTGGAGGGTCTATTGATTGAACAGCTGAACTGAGTCCGTAAATGAACGGATTTATATAGCGGTTGACCTCTGTGTGTTGTTTGCGTAAGCAAATTCGCAACCGGTTGGTGCTTTTTTTTGGATTTGAATCCATACGGACGTGCTTCATTTGTGTCCCCCGCACCTATCAAGCTGTGAATCGTTTACATCGATACTCTTAGTTGAGCAGGTGCTCTTTTGGTGCACAGTGCGCAAATTAGTGTGCTCTTCTTTATGTAATTTAATTATGTTTTGCATATCTCCAAAGGACCATGGACCTTGCAAACAACTTTATTTCAGGTTTTATCTTGCAATCTCACTAACCTCAACCTAGGGAGGTGTTGAATTATGTGCCATTTGACATGTGAAAGCACTATGACTTAGATGTCCAGATAGTAGTCAAAATCCTTTTGAATCCAAAGATATGATATGGTTGATGAAGCCTATTGTCCATCAATGGTGAAGGGATTCCGGACTCAAATTTAATTTAGCTTGGGACTTGGGATACACTATATGTTTCTTGCAGGATGTATGTCCGGCACTTGCCCACCTGAAGCTTCCAGGCTGGGACGACGGCCGGACTTTCGACGTCCGACGTTCGATTCGCTTGGAGAACGAAGCAATAAGGCCGCCTCTCTCTCTCTCTCACACTGGGACCTTTGGTTATGTCTTGAGGGATGATGGTGGATCTCAGATCATCTAATTCTCAAAGATGCACAAGCTGGTGGATTTGAGGACCCTGAGGGACGATCCCGATTGCAGTATTATTTGTGAGCCAGAGGTAAACAAGGAGCCGATGGTGCAGCAATCGGAGAAGGTTGCAGCGTGATACTTTGCCAGCGCTGAGCTAATAGACAATATAGTTTCTTGTGAGTAATGTTTACATTGTATGTAGGCCTTTTCCATGGTTTCTTTGCAAAACTCGCGATCTTACAAACAACAAGATGTTCTTGGCCAGAACTGATTCTTCCCATATTTCAATCGTGTTTTTGCAATATGTTCATCTATGGGTCATTTGGATCGCCTTTCTCCGCTGATCTCCTTCCCTTCTCGGCCTCGTCCTTCCACTCCGTCGCTCCCGTCCAGGTTGTCGCGCTACCTCACGGGCGAGGCGAGGCGGTGGCGATGCGGTCGGGTCCAAAATGGTCCCAAGGACCTCGGGAGGAATCTGTAGTTTGGGGAACACATGTCCATGTTTGAGAAGTTCGCAGCTCGGTACCTTGCTGCGTGGCAATAGGAATCCACGGATTCTCCTTAAGATGCCTGGTGCAATGGGGCAGTTGAACAAGTCCTGGATTCTCCACCAAGATTCTTCCCTTCGAACACCTACAGTGTCTCAAACTGTTTGAAACCTCACCCCACCTGGCACGCCGGCACCGGCTGACGCAGGTGCCGGAGCTGCTGAGCGCATTTCCGGGTTTGGTGGCTTTGAGGCGGTCGGGTGTGGAGAGATGGAGATCACCATGGAAATGGTATGGAATGGTTCAGTGAAGGCCTGAGAAATGACCTTTTTAGGTCAGATTTTGGATGCACCGAGATGTCAGGATGGTGATCACTGATCAAGGATGTTCAGGTTCAATGATTGGGATTTGGGATGTATTTGGTGAGACCTGTTGAATGTAAAGGTTGTAGGAGGATCCGGTAATATAGTGATCAAGATTTTTTTATCACTTACTGAGGAGCAGAGCAGACCTAGTAGCAGAGCCAGGGAGGCTGGAATCGAGGACCAAGAATCCGACGTCTTGAACATTTTGGGGGGTCTCTCACGGTCTCTCCTCCACGACATCAAATTGGGCAGATGAAATGAAAACCGGTCGAGCAATCCCCAAGACATCCTCCTTGTTGTTTCCCACGTGTCGCACCTGTTGCGCCACCACCCGAGATTCTCCTTCCACCGATGGCCAAGCACTTTTCTGTCTCGCAGGGATGTGAGCTTTCTGACGCACCCCCCTCAGACTGCAGAGGTCGACGGTTGGTGACATGTGGGATGGATGTGGTGATTGCCCAAAAGCACGGGGATTAATGGAAACAAATCTATGTTGCGAACTGGCACAGGCTTCAGCTGCTTTGGTGGTC